TGATGATGATGCTGATGCTGATGATGCTGACGATGACGACGATGGCGATGACAATGATGATGCTGCTGCTGCTGCTGCTGATGCTGATGCTGATGCTGATGCTGATGCTGATGCTTATGCTGCTGCTGATCGCGAGGATGACGATGCTGGTGGTTGTGGTGATGTTGTTGATGCTTATGCTGCTGCTGATGATGATGACGATGCTGCTGCTGCTGATAATGATGACGACTATGATCATGCTGATGCTGGTGATGACGATGATGACGATGATGATGACGATGCGTTTGTTGTTGATGCTGATGATGATGGTGATGCGAATGATTATGATGCTGATGCGGATGCTGCTGCTGATGGTAAAGATGATGATGAGGATGAGGATGAGGATGAGGATGAGGATGATGATGATGATGATGATGATGATGATGATGATGATGATGATGATTGTGATGGTGATGGTGATGATGATGATGATGATGATGATGATGATGCTGATGCTGATGCTGATGCTGATGCTGCTGCTGCTGATGCTGATGATGATGATGATGATGATGATGATGCTGATGATGATGATGATGATGATGATGATGATGATGATGATGATGATGATGATGATGATGATGATGATGATGATGATGATGATGATGATGATGTGAGAAGGGAGGAGGCGGATGGGAGGAGGAAAGAGGCACGAAGGAGACGCGGTGCGCTGTTTCCAGCGGTGCTTGCGGGGCTCCGAGCACGACTTCTGCCGCAGGGGGCAGTTCTGCATTGCTTTGTGACCTGGATGGTGTGGGGGGGTGCTGACATGGCAAAGAGCAGGGAACTGTGCGGGCCCCCCCACCGTCCTTGTCAAAAGTCATTACCATGTGATCGCGAGGCGCCCCTGCCGTCCTCTTCATAAACCAGTGCAATGTGTTGAGCGGCAGAATGTCATTTTGACAGGGATTGCTGGGGGCGAAGGCTCATGGGTACGGTTTGCTGCCGGTCGGGTAGGGAAGGGATGTTTATCAAGAGGGAGCAGTGATCAAGCTGCCTCCCCCCGAACGATGATCCGGGTTAGCCAGCCAGGCACGCGACGCCCGCGGGGTGCGCCGCGCGTGCCAGGACATCCACATAACCCTTGTCAAGTCATCAGTGCAAAATGTTCGTGGGTCGCCCGCACATGGTCCAAGCCTTCGCCGCAGCGGGCATGTTGCATTGTCTTTGTCAGGGGTGGTGGGCTTGCACGCACCACGCAACATGTGTTGCATGCACGTTTGTCGACGTGCTCCCAACTGTTCTGCCGGCCCCGGATGCACACTGTGAGCCGTTCGAGGTGCGCATCGCGCATGCTCTGCCTCCTCGGAGCGACCATGGGGCGCAGCGCTCTTTATGACGGGCTCGGTTTCCACCACCACCACCATAGGTTGGAGGGGGAGGGGGTCCTCTTTCTCCTCCTCCTCCTCCTCTTCTTCGTCGTCCTCCTCCTCGTCCTCCTCCTTCCCCCCTCCAGCTTATGGTGGTGGTGGTGAACAACGCGCCCATCACTTTACCCAGACCCCCGGCGTCGTGACTTCTTCCTGACGTGGGCCCCGGAAGTCTCGAGACCCCTTTCCCAGGGACCGGTCTCTTTTATCCCGAGTCCTTGCTGGACTGTCCCGAGGCCTGGGAGGCAGAGGAGGAGGAGGAGGACGAGGAGGAGGAGGAGGAGGAGGAGGAGGAGGTGAGGCCCTGGAAGGCCAAGATAGCGACGAAGCTTCCGTCGTGTTTGAGTTCCCTCGGAAATTGGAGCATACACACATTGCCAGTGGCGTGTTTTTTTCCATCCCACGACTTCTGGAGGGTCGGGGACGGCTTCGGGGTGGTATGGTGCATACTTCTTCCCCGTTTTCCAAGGGAAACAGCGAAACATGTATACACCAGGATCCCGTATACACCAGGACCCGCGTTCCTGTGCGAATGTCAGCGCAGGGTCGGAAAAAGCGTCGGTGTATAGAGCTCGTTTCCCTATTCATGTTCTGAGTGCTTACCGACTCTTTGGCCTTTCCCGTGCCCTCCTCCATTCGTTCTTGGCGTGCCCCGCACGTGGCCCGACTGGCGCCTATACTCCAGCTTCGCCTCGCCTGCGCCCGCTGATTGGAATATTTTTACAGGACCCGAGGGGGTCTGGGCTTTCGGGGGCGGCAAAGGGGGGGTGATGACTAGGGGGTGTGGATATCATGGCGCGGGCCATGATATCTCCTCAGACTTCATGGCGCCTCTTCTTGTTTCATTACGTTCCTGGCCCCCCCCCTGGGCCGCGCACATGCCGCTGGCCATGATTTGCGCCCCCCCTCTTGGACGCCCCCCTCTTGGCCGGGCCCGAGGCTTGCGTCCGCGGCCGTGGGTGGCCTGGGCGGGGGTCGGGATCGGCACGGGCGGCACTGCTCGGCGGGAGCCTCGCCCCCGCCCGGCCGCGCCACGCCTCCGGCCCCGCCCCCCCCGGCCCAGACCCTCGGCAGATGCTAAGTCCATTTGGGCCTCGACTTGGCCTCTCCTGAAGACCCACGACGTGATCCTTTTTGTCACGACGTCAACCTCCAGAGGCGAGGTCACCTGCAAGGCTTTACCCCCCCCCTCCCTCCGCCACCTTCAAGCAGCGCTGGGCCGAAAAGGCGTGCACGTCGAGCCCAGCTTGCGTGAACTCCAAGTTTTTCTGTTCGGCCTGGCCACGCCCCCACCCCTCCATGGAAGTAAACTCGTCGGGATCGAAAGAACATGTTCGACCCACGAACTCGGAAAGGGATGTGGACATGTGAAGCATGGCGACGTTTTCAAGACCCGATCGGGCTACCGGCAATTGCAATGCTCAATGTATCGCTCTTGGTGTACCGTGCCCAGGGCTGCGCTGTGCTGTGCCGTGCTGAGCTGCGATGTGCCATGCCGCGATTGTGCTCTAGAGTGTTGTGGATCGAGTCCTCCTTGACATTTGGGTCCTGACCGAACTGATTTGGATCTGAAGCTCGAGCTGCCTGACCACATAGTAGCCGCTTCAGGGCTAGTTGAAGTGGAAAAGTGGAGGACGTTTCAATCAACTCGCCCTCAAAATCCGACTCAGCTCCGAAAAGGAGCGACACGACACGGGGCACAGGCTCACGAACGCGCCACAGGATGTGCCAGGGGCGCAATAGGGGATGCGCCAGGGGACGTGTTAGGGGACGCATCAGGGGATGTGCCCTGGACGTGTCAGGGACCTGCCACGGGACGTGCCAAAGCGCGTGCCATGGGGCGGCCAGAGGACGTCATGCCAAGGGATGTTGCAAGGGGCCCGCCACGAAACGGGCAGGGGAAACGCCTGGGGACGAGCAAGGAAACGCGACAGAGGACGAGCCAGGGAACGTGCCACGACGAGTGTCGTGCAGGGGACGTGCCAGGGCACGTCACGCCCGAACGTCGCGAGGGACGCGCCAGGGGGCACGCCAGGGCGCTAGGGGACCCCCCATGGACGGGCGGGGTTGGACTGCGACGCACTCTACTGCGACAAGCGTTTCGCTAGAGACATCCTCGACACATCCTCATGTTTGATATCCGCCTGGGCGACCTGAACACGAGAAACCAAGCGTCTCGCTCGAGACGTTCTGAACACCTCTTAATGCTAGACATCTGCCTGAGCGACCTGGACACGTGAAGCCAAGCGTTTCGTTGAACACATCTTCGACACATCCTCATGCTAGACATCCGCCTGGGCGACCTGGACACGCGAAAACGAGCGTCTCGCTCGATGCATCCTCCGAACGTTCATGATAGACATCCGCCTGGGCGACCTGTGCACGTGAAAACAAGCGTTTCGCTCAACACATCCTCAACACCTCCTCATGCTAGACATCTGCCTTGGCGACCTGGACACGTGAAAGCAAGCGTCTCGCTCGAGGCATCCTCAACACATCTTCATGTCAGACATCCGCCGCGGGCGACTTGAGTACGTGAAAGACCTCGTGAAAGTAAGCGTCTCTCTCGAGGCATCCTCAACAACTCCTCATGTTAGACATCCGCCTGGGCGACCTGGAGACGTGAAAACAAACGTTTCTCTCAACACATCCTCAACGCATTTTTTTGCTAGACATCCGCCTGAGCGACCCGGACAAGCGAAAACAAGCGTTTCTCTCTCGAGAGTCATCCTCAACACATCCTCATGCTAGACATCTGCCTGGACGACCTGAACGCGTGAAAACAAGCGTCTCGCTCGAGACATCATCAACACATCCTGATGTTAGACATCTACCTGGGCAACCTGGAGGCGTGAAGCCAAGCATCGCGCTCGAGACATCCTCAAGACCTGGGCACGTGAAAACAAGCATTTCACCTGAGACATCCTTTGAATTCTGGTCCCCAGGAGAGGAACGCTCTATAGCACAAAACAAACGTTTCGCTCGAGACATCCTGAACGACTTGTGCAAACCAAGCGTTTCGTTCGAGACATCCGCAACACACGAACATGCTTACTTTACCATATGTTTTATCGATCGGAATTTCAAAAACCAGCGTTCCGCTCGGGACATCCTCAAATTGTAATTCGCCGGCCCACCTCGACCTTGTGATGTATCGCATATTGAATTCGCCGGCTTGGGCCTATGCCCTTTCCAGAAAAAATTGCTTCCCAGAGGTCTCGACCCATTCCCCAGCATTGGCTCTGCATCCCGAGCCGTTTGGACGGCCCCGCGGGGCCCGCGTGGAGGCCGAAAGGTTGGTCACAGGCCGCCCGCCGTGATTCTTCCACGGCGCGAGGGGGCCTGGCCCCTTCAGGTGAGCGGCGCAAGGAAACTGGGACAATCGCGCGTGAGCTTCCCGTGCGCGGCGCCCTCGTTTCCGATGTGGCGTGCCGCGCTGTCGGCCCGCGTCAGCCGCCGCGTAATGTCGCTATGCCATCTCCTTGGCATCGCTCGGACGTGTGCATTGCCTTTCGGCGAGGGCCGTCGAGGAGCATCTTGGATCATCTCGCGAAGATATGAACGCACGAAGACCCGCTTGTTTCCGCCGCTCAGGTGGATCAGGTCCATCGAGGGTGACACCATCTACCCCGCGGTGGTCGGGGCGGAGGCCAGGGGCGCCGCGGTGCTGGAGGTCAGCGGGTGCGGCATCCCCGAGTTCAACGGCCAGGACGCTGGCGGGTCGAGTGCAGGGGGCGCCGCCGCCACCACCGCCCGGAGGCTGGGAGAGTCAACGGCACACACGGGGCCCCCCTCGCGCCATGGAGAACTCACGGCGGGCGGTTTGGAGCTGACTTTGGGCCTTCGGGGGCCTTCGCCGGGCCCCGCGGCGCCGCCAAGAAACGAGTCGGGATGCAGAGCCAGTCCTGGGGAATGAGTCGAGACCTCTTGGGATGCCGTTTTTCTTCCGATCCCGACGAGCTTACTTGCATGGAGGGGCGGGGGAGCGTGGCGCCGTGAAACGAGGGCGAGGTTTTCGATTGCTTTCGGCCTCGAGGGGTCCTCGCTGGGCTCCAGGACCATCCAACATTATCCCGGCAAAGCAACCTAACAGCGATGTGTAGAAGCATATTTGAAAGCATTCCCCTTAAGATTCAGATGAAAATCCAGTTGTAGAATTCTGCTGTTCTCGCAGTCGTAGTCGCATTCGCGATGACAGTCGCAGCGGCAACGGCAGTCGCAGTCACAGCCTCACAGTCAGCCTCAGCCTCAGCCTCAGCCTCAGCCTCAGCCTCAGCCTCATCAGCCTCAGCCTCAGCCTCAGCCTCAGCCTCAGCCTCAGCCTCAGCCTCAGCCTCAGCCTCAGCCTCAGCCTCAGCCTCAGCCTCAGCCTGCTCAGCCTCAGCCTCAGCCTCAGTGCCTCAGCCAGCCTCAGCCTCAGCCTGCCTCAGCCTCAGCCTGCATCAGCCTCAGCCTCAGCCTCAGCCTGCCTCAGCATCAGCCTGCCTCAGCAGGCCTCAGGAATGGAGTTCTGGGAACTCGAAGAGCACGAAGTGGCCTACAGTTGGCTCCGGGCATCCAAAATGTGGCCCGGGAATGGAGTTCTGGGAAGTCGAAGAGCACGAAGTGGCCTACAGTTGGTTCCGGGCATCCAAAATGTGGCCCGGGAATGGAGTTCTGGGAAGTCGAAGAGCACGAAGTGGCCTACAGTTGGCTCCGGGCAGCATTCAGAATGTGGCCCGGGAATGGAGTTCTGGGAGGTCGAAGAGCACGAAGTGTGTAACTGTTTGCGAAAAACGAGTGCGGCGGCAGCCGCGCTGGGTCCCGCCCCTTGGTCCCGCCCCGACCCCCCTGAGGAGTCATGATGCTCTCTTTTGACCCCACTAGAAACCTATCAGTCTTCGCTGTTAGGTAAAAAGACTTGGGATGCAGAGCCGGTCCGGGGAACGGGTCAAGACCTCTTGGGGTCGACGTTGTGAAACAAGCATGACGTCAGGGGTCTTAGCCAGGACGGGGGATCACTGGCACAGGGGGGCGGATCACCGCCATGAAGAGGGGTGATCACGGCCACCGCTTGAAAGGGGTGCCATAGACGAAGGGGTGTCAGGGGTGTGGTGAAGCATCTTCTTCGCCGGTTTCGCGGGGCATGTTGCGCAGCTGCTGCATTCCCTCAATCCGCAACGAAATACTTATCCCGACCCCTGCCCTGGGGGAAAATCTCGCAAGTTGCGCACTGGTTGTTTGGAGGCGCGCGTGCGCCCTTGGCTCAAACGCTGGCGCACCTCGTTTGGGCAGGCTGCAACTCGCCAAACTAATTGTTTGTTTGCTTGGGGCTAGGGCTCGTCATTCTGCTGGGGGGCGCGGGGCAGGAACGGTTGCGCCCCTGCGCGATTGCGGGCATGATGGGCGACGTGGAACGAGTTCGGGGATAACTTTTGTTTTGCTTCGCCCCAGGCTTCATGGGAGCGCGCCAGTTCAGACAATTTGGGAGGTCCCCATTTCGGCGGCTTTCCCCTGGAAGGTTGCTGCGCGGATTGATCTCCCCCCGTTGGATTAGCCTGATCGTTCATGTTATTTGTTCTTCGCCTGTGCGGCAACTGTTCCAAAGTTCTGCGGACGAGTCCTTGGGTCCAATGTGTCTGTCAGTTGTTTGCAACGCGCGCGCCAATGCATTGTCTCTTGGATGAAGCGATCTCGCATTGCCAGATTTCGGCAGCAATATTGATGGAGCGGCTTTGCCCTCGCAGCGTGAAGCAATCGTATCCTCGGTGGGCGACTAGCAGCCCTGGACACGGATTGGGGTAATAATTCCATTGCGCAGCTCAAGTCGGCAAGTCCAGCACCCCGCAGATGATGGTGGAAGCGAGCCTCCGTCTCTCTCTGGTGGGGGAGCTTCCTCAGGGGCAACGGTACGGGAGGATAGGCCCACGAGAGGACGCATCGACCCCGAATCGCCCATTGATCGCCCATGGGGGCCCGATGGCCCACCCCGCCCAGGACCGTGCGGATCCGCTCGCTAGCTGGGGCCGATCGCCGATGTATCGCCGGTTCCAGGTCGCTGCTCTCCCCCCCTCCCCTGGGCCGGCCCTCCCCCAACGTAGCCCCTGAGTTGCCTCAGACCGCGGGCGTGTTGAGAACCCGCGACGGCCGATTCCCTGACGTTGCCCTCCCTTCCCCAGGGCGTTCCTCAGAAGAGAAAATAGAACACAGACAAAATTTACCGTCGACTCTCAGGAAAACATGGAAAATATGGGAAGTGGGGGGGAAGACGACAACCCAAAAAATATGGGGAAATGTGGGGGCTCATGTTAGTTTTGTATATTTATTTGTGTGTCCCAGGGCCCGGGGAGGAAGTTGAGGAGAAGGATGAGGATGAAGCGGAGGAAGAGGATGAAGAGGAGGAGGAGGGGGAAGATGAGGAGGAGGAGGAGGAGGAGGAGGAGGAAGAGGAGGAGGAGGAGGAGGAGGAGGAGGAGGAGGAGGAGGAGGAGGAGGAGACGGAGGAGTTCCCTGACTCCCCGCGCAGGGTTCCCACTTGTGGTGGGCTCTTGGCTGGAGTTTTCCAGGCTTTCTCGCTGCGCTTGCCGCCCGTGGGCGCCTCTCCTGGGCGCCAGGTGCGGCGGTCGGGAGCTGCAGATTTTCGCCGCGTTCCTGCCCGCAGGGGGGAGGTGGAGGAGGAGGAGGAGGAGGAGGAGGAGGAGGAGGAGGAGGAGGGGGAGGAGGAGGAGGAGGACATTGCTGGGGACATTGCTGACTAAGTCTGACCTCTGATGGAAAACACAGCGGTCGACGGCTCACTCGCTGTAAGTTCAAACTCACATGGGAGATTCATGTGGAGCGCGAAGCAGCACGTTGGCTAGCACGCTCGCATACGAAGGAGCCTGAAGCTGCACCTGATGGCAGCGCACAGCACCTCCTACGATTCGGTCCCTGAGGCTCTGTTGCTTCGGATAGCATGGCCCTTCGCCGTACACTTTACTTTCTTTTCGGTTCCTGAGGCTCTTGGCTTCTGATGGCATGCCCTTCACCGCTTCGAAGGCCAGAGGTCCAGGGGAGAGGCGGGCGCGGAGGAGGAAAAGGGGGGGGAAGAGAAGGGAGGAGGAGAAACGACACCCACAGCTCAGACCGTCCCCGACCCGACCTTCTTGACCGCCTTCTTCCCCATGATGGCCACTGGTATCGTCCTTCTCGGACGGGTCCATCCTGTGTTGCTTCAGCCTCGTCACCGTCAGCCGCCAGCAGGCGCGGCGCGCATCGACAGCCTGCAACCTCGCACCGGACGCCGGGGCCGAACACCAGCACTTCTGGCACCACTGGTGCCCAGCCATTCACGCGGTCGTCCCAATCCATTGGGTGGCCCCTTCCATCAGTGCCGCTCCCAAGTTTGATGGAAGAAACTCGCAGGGGGGCCGAGGCGGGCGGCTTGCCTACGAGAGGAACGGCTGAGGAGGAGGAGGAGGAGGAGGAGGAGGAGGAGGAGGAGGAGGAGGAGGAGGAGGAGGAGAGGAGGAGGAGGAGGAGGAGGAGGAGGAGGAGGAGGAGGAGGAGGAGGAGGAGGAGGAGGAGTTCTGGAGTTCTGGGTATGGCGACAGTGTCGGTTACTGGTGACTGAAGCGGCTACTTGCCCTGCCGCTTCCCGCTGGCCAGCTCGGCTTTACTGAGAGCTTTCGGCCAGAGGCCTCGGGAAATTCTATCTACGTAATGCTTTCGATTACCTGATATGACCCCCTCGCACTCAACGGCTATCGCTCGAATCTGTTGCGAAGCGTAGCAGCCGCACTTAGTGCAGAACCAGAGGTCTAACCCCGAGTGGAAACTTAAAGCGTGTGATTCATGTGAGAACCCCCCCCCAAGATGCACCCTTAGCCCAGGAGGCGGCCTATACTGAATCCCGTCAATACTTATAAGAGAAAAGCAAGGGGAGCTCAACCAAGCACTTTTGCGGGCCCAGGACGTAAAACCCTGACACCTGGAACAGCTCTTTGCATTTTCCTTGAGACAGTGAGTACTATTGAACATGGCACACACACACACTGGCCGCTGGAGGCCGTACTATGTCAGAAGTTTGCTGCCTACGCCTACGCCTGCCACCCTGCTCAGCAACTAACCGCTCTTCAGCTTGAATAGCCTCGAGTGTGCTTTGAAGGATACGCATGCGGACTGCGAAGGCCTGCTGCTCGACACTGTGTATGCGTACACGTTCCGACTCTGCTAGCCTAGCATCCTGTGCGCCAGCGGACGCGAAGCAGTCGGCTACAGTATTTCCTAGTACAAGAAGACGGGGTGCAACGCCTCGTACTATATCTACACCCTCAAGATGGGAGTGAACGAACAAAACCGTGCAGGAAACCTCGGATCCTCGCTCACGCAGGACGCGCCCAACTCTCCACCAAATGTCGGCGTCAGGGCCCGAGGGGTCGAGCCACTTACGCTGATACCAACCTAAACTGACAGCATCGTTATCTGTAGTGTACACACAATGTCCAGACACACGCTGCAGGCACGCTAGAAGGCACCAGATCTCCCCACGAGCGACAGTCTGCCTACAACCTGGAAGATGCCCCCAGGCACCGACTGAAATCTCCATTCGTTCATCTAACTGCTGAAATGACGCGATTCCTAGGCCTACACGTCGGAGGAGGGGGTGGTGGGTGTCCTTCCCCCCACTCGCGTCTCCAAACACAAACAGTGGCCTATTAGACGTCCCTGAACCTAGAAAATCAAAATCCC